AATAGATCTTGTCTATTTTTATTTAAGATTAACTGACTAAAATTTGTTTCGCTGAAAGATCATCCGGCAGTAGATTTTGGACTGGAGTTAAATGGTAAAGGTATAATTGTTGTTCATGTAAAATGTTAGGTAAATAAACCAACATTGACAGATATACGACAGATACTTGTTGCTGGTCATCTTCAACAAGATTTAATACCTCCTCCTTGCTGTAAATCTCGAACCATAGGTCGTCCATTGACTCTTTTTAGTCGAAAACTTTCGGTTTCTTTTAATCTGCTAAATAGACATGAAAACAATTTTCGGTTGTGTCTACAATTAGGATACAAATCTGTGTAACTTCTTGCTGAAGCGAGTGCATTAAAACCTTGTTGGGCGTAAACTAATATCATATCGGTCATTTCACTGTTAGAGAAAAAATTATGTCGCGACATGTATAAAAATAATAAATTTTTGCCACCCAAAACTCTGATGCTTGTATGCAAGACTAATTCTGACAGTGCTACAACATTTGATAACTACCTACTAGATTTAACATTATCAAATTAAAAAATTATGGAGTAATCCATACATTTGCAGTACTAACTTTAAATTAAGTTTTTCTTCAAATGATACATTTTAGCAACATGCAACAAGTATAACTTTTTTAAAGCAAATTGAACGCTTCTTCAAAATAATTAATCATTTCTCAAAAAAGGCCAATCTTAAAAAAAAATCTGAAGTAAATACTAGATTGGCACGCCAGTTTAGAACGCCCTGTACTTGTAATGCAACAAATATTTGATCATCTGAAGTTTGGCCCATTCTTTAATGAACACCTTGTATAGTAGAAATAAAACACTTAACAGATTTTTACTGTTATAATAAAAGAATAAAGGTAGATTTGGGAATGTATACACTTTTGCCACATCCTTTTTCAGCTTTCCCTTTTTTATTTTGCTGACAGTACCATCAATAAAAAGAATCTAATAATATTCGGAAATACCTTCTAAAAAGTGTAGAACAGCAAACAGCATCATCTCTAGAAAGTGTTTTATCGGCCCTATGAATGATATTATATATGCTGCCACTGTTTTAAGCGTGTAGGATCCTATAAAAAAAACATTTACAATGACAAAATTAGGGTTCAACAAACAAATGACAGTAGCAGCTCTTTATCTAACACTAAAACTCTACAAACTTTCTTCTCTAGTATGTTAAACTTATTGTATAATTATTATTGTTGTTTGTAAGTCAGGATCTATGACTGTAAAATTTTATTATATAGAAACTTGTTATAGAATAAACTACACTCCGTGATACAAATATTATATTTAGATATAGATACATTATTTTATTTACATTAGAAGTTTTAAAAAGACATTAAATTGATTACTCCTTGTGTTTTCTTTAGTTATACATGTGATTTTTATCCTGCTTTACAATGTGGAACGAGGTAAATCTTTCTTTAATATTTTTTGTCACTCATATTACTTGTACTCAGGTACTCTTTTTTACATTATTTTGATTCTTTTAACCAATTTTTTAAAAAATTACTTCATTTTACATTGTCTTGTATAGAAAATGAACGTCAGTGACGTTCGACCTGCCAACTACAGTCAATTTATCGAATTTTATAAAAAGGACAGAAATTTAATCAATAAGACATTCCAAACAAAATGGCTACCAGTGGGTTTTGACAGGTTGTGATATGGCAACATTATGGCAACCCTGTAAGTGGGTTGAATCACATACTTTGATTACTATACGAGGCAAGAGAGAGGTCCGACACACCCAACATAAGGCGCGGCCATTTTGAACCCTGTGACACAGTTTACAGCTAAAGAATCAGATCGCTCACTATGCGTCGGCACTTTGGATCTCAATGTTTCAGTTTATACACTGTGCAACTCGGATAATACAATATATGACAACCGCTTATAATAAAACAGCAATCTTCTGCGTATCCTGAATTTGTATCCCTGAAGTGGATGTTATTTTGGAACTTTAAACTGGTCCGAGTGAGCTAACTGATTCTTTAGCAATAAACTGTGACTTCAAAAATAATATTCACTGACACTGACAGCAGCAAGCAAAATATCAGGTGCGTTTTAATCATCCGCTTCTGCTTCCGGAATTGTCGGTTTAGTCGTTTTAACCTGTCAGATTAAAACAAGATAATAAATATTTTTTTAAATAATATTTTTATTTTTTTGTAGTGTCTTATTAAGAATAGGACACAGAAAAACTGAAGAGTTACCTATAATTTTACCAAATTTGGCAAACATTTTTGGTGTCATAAGATACGTTACACTTATTTGGACTATAATTATATATTTTTTGATGTTTTTTAAGTAAATCATATAGGTACTTTTGTTGGGAACTTATAAGAAACTTCAAAATTAAAATGAAGAATATTCGCATTCTAAGCATAGTCTTATTTTTAATCAGACTCTTCAGTTGTTCTGTATCCCTTTCTCAATGAGACACCTTGTATATAAACTTCCCACTTGAACAATTTTATATTTTTCAAGTATGTACAATACAGGTGTATCAGAAATTAAAGCAAAAAGACAACTTATAACAAAGGTTTAAATTTAGTAATGTCGTCATCCTTGCACCCTAAAAAAGTACCAATGAAGAAATTATTCCTCCAATGCAACCAAACAGTTATTTTTAGGATAAGATTTTGTGTCAAATGTTATTCACAGCCACAGGGTTTCTTTTTAAATGGCATGACATTGAAAATTTTGGTCAAAACAATTTTCATCATGCTCTTTTCTTGGAAATTCACAATGCTTTATTAGGATTAAAAACACCAGTTTCTAGAAACTTTTTCACTATAACACTAACATTACTGATCAGAAAAAGTGGTTAAAGTTTTCTTTTTATAATCACAAATCGCAACTGAATGGCTGTTTTTAAAATAAATTATCTCTATAATTCCATTTGTATAGTTGTATGCTGTACATCTGTGAGATTGTTGTTAATTATACATATGTACCAATTATAGAAATCTTTAGTAAGTACTTGCTTGCAATTTTAGTAATATATGTACCTACCCTATATAATTAATTATTTCAAACATAAATAAAACCAACAACTATTATATGTCTTTTTAGTTCCGATTGGTTTTGACAGAGTAGTTTTGATCATGGTTTTCTTCCATCTACTTTTAACCATAAAGTCATACCTAGCTGAATTTTTGGTCTTTTTAAACTTTTGACTGTACCGGGTCATATTTTTAATGTATGTCATCTGCAGCAGAAAGACCTACATGTTTTACATTTAAAAGTAATTAATTGTCCTTTCTACAAACTCGGCTGTATTTTTATAAATTTTTTATAAATTATCTCTATAATTCCATTTGTATAGTTGTATGCTGTACATCTGTGAGATTGTTGTTAATTATACATATGTACCAATTATAGAAATCTTTAGTAAGTACTTGCTTGCAATTTTAGTAATATATGTACCTACCCTATATAATTAATTATTTCAAACATAAATAAAACCAACAACTATTATATGTCTTTTTAGTTCCGATTGGTTTTGACAGAGTAGTTTTGATCATGGTTTTCTTCCATCTACTTTTAACCATAAAGTCATACCTAGCTGAATTTTTGGTCTTTTTAAACTTTTGACTGTACCGGGTCATATTTTTAATGTATGTCATCTGCAGCAGAAAGACCTACATGTTTTACATTTAAAAGTAATTAATTGTCCTTTCTACAAACTCGGCTGTATTTTTACTGAAATATATTTATTCACAATTCACGTAGTGGTTTGGTTTTTGGTTTGGTAATTTGATGTCATAATTCTCATCATTGTCAGATTTTGACATTGGCAGCTTTGATCAAGACAAGAGAGTCCTTGAACGAAAAATCGTAGTTCGCGTTTTAGTTTTAAAGCACAAAGAGATTAACAAATCTGATGCACAGTGTTATTCGAACGTTGATTTTCGATCACACAGGTCATATATCGGACGGCTTCGGCGAAGACAGAACAATATAATAATATTAATCTCTTTTATGGTCTTGGCATTGGCTTGGTCGGAAAACGGTTAATAAATAATAGTAAATAGTGTAGAAGTCATAATTGCGCAATGTCATCAAATTAATTTCGAATCGATCATGTTGAAACAAATCTTAGGTAAGTAAGTCATTTAAAAGTTGTAATTCTGCATACGGATTTTAATTATATTTGAATACGACCCTGCTTAGTCAACCATTTAAGCCACGCCCAGTGGGGTAATTTTTAATAAAACGTATCATATGCAAAACAATTGCCTCATGGCATCTCCATTAGTATTATACCTCCATGTCTTGCTAGAGCCCTTGACACATCCACTTCGTTCATATTACTTATTGTAATTCTTAATAAAGCTCTCAGTGAACTAACTGTGTTTGCAGGGCCTTGTTATCCATATAATCTCATACATTACAGCTTCATATTCATTGTAATAGTCATTCATCAATTTCGACTTTAGTGACTTATGAATACTTTTAAAATGTAAACAAAATGGTTACCTTTCGAAATGATTTTAAATGTAATAAATAGTAAAATTGTCTATTTTTAAGATACTTATGCCCTCTTTTCTTCTAGACAAATTCTACGTGGATTCCCAAGTTCGAAATCTACATGGATTCTCAAGTTTGAAATAGTAAGGAAATTTTAATGGAAGTTAACAAATAATAAAATTATGAAATAATTCACTAGATATATTATAGTAGCATTTATTTTAGGTTTTAGGTATGCAGTTTATGTTAAATTATTTCTGAATAAATCCTATTAATCCTAAATGTCCTACAATTAATTTTATCCTGTAACAAGACGAAACAAAAAAGGTAGTTCGGAGTGTTGCAGGTTGTTAACAAATTAAAACAGCTCTAAGAAAATTTAATTTTTATTCTAATATCTTCCTATATTGTACACAAATTGACTACTTTTACATATGATTGAGATTAAAGACTTTCTTCTTTAATATCGTTTTAATGACAGAATTTGTTTTACACAATAAAAATATATTATATTTGACAAGGGTAAAACATAAAAAAAAAGAAAATAGCGAAAATCAACTTATATTTATTCCCATTGTTCATGACAGATATTCTAAGTTAAATATGTTTAATTTTCTCCTTCAGTTGGGCTGTATCCAGATACCTGAAACAAAAAAATCATATTTAAAAAATATTAGGTAATTTATTAAAAAAAAAAAAAAATAGAATATAACAGGCGGGGCGCTAATAGAAGTAGATTCTTGGTATAGGAAATTCGTACCAGATTTCTCAACATCTTATGTAATTTGTTTCCTAAAAACCAGAAATTTATCTGGGACTCTTCATGTGAAAAAGCTTTTCAGGATCTCAAAGATTGTCTTGCCGGAAAGGTTAGTTGCGACCTGAGTGTGCATCCACATACTCGCAACAGTTAAGCAGTGATCTCTCCAGTCACGTCGTGGATGTGTGACCACTGATAGGTTACCCGACTAGCGGTTAACTATCGACGTCGTGGGATAAATGATAATGACTGAAGAAATTAATGGGAAAGTAGTAAGATCTTCAAATGGTAGTTCAATAAGCCTCAGGCTGCAGTGCTGCCAGGCTATGAATGGATTAGTGTGTAGCACGGGAGGTCCGAAGAGTGTAAAACTAAAAAAAAAATCATCTTATTTCGGCTCCTATTCTTACTAGTCTAAATTTTTATCCACCGTTTATAGTACAGACGGCTGCTTCTGATTTTGGCATTGGTGCGGTGCTTTTACATATTAGAGAAGAGGGTGAAAAGGTTATTTGCTACTTAAGCAGATTTTTCTCCAGTTCTGAATGAAAGTACAGTGCCACTGAAAGAGAGTGTTCTGCGGTTTTGTTCGCGATTGAAAACTTTCGTCCATATATTGAGGGATCAAAGTTTAAAGTAATTACAGACCATTACAATCTTAAATGGCTAAATAATATAATGGATCCTATTGGCAGAATTGCTTGGTGGGCTGTTCGGCTCCAACCAGGGCCTACGAGAGGGTGGGTGTAGCAAGGACCAATTCCCGGGGCCCGGCAGCTTTAGGCGATAATGTTTTTTATTTTTTTTAGAAGTTCACCACAGAGGGACGACCTTTTTTTTATAAATGTAATATATATTGGAAGGGCCTATTTTTTTTTAAATTGTCGCGGGGCCCGAAAGGTTCTCGGCGGCCCTGGCTCCAACCATATGATTTTGAAATCTTTCACCAAACAGGAAAGAAACATGTAATTCCAGATGCCTTGTTTTGGTTGGTTCCGAGTGTGGAAGCATTGGAGTTGAACCAGTCTTCAGACAAGTCTGACAAATGGTATCGCAACATGTTGAAGAGAGTCAGTCAGATTAATATCCTTTATGGATAATCGACAATGACCATCTCTGGAAAAGAGCGAAGTTGGTTAAATGTTAGTTGTTCCTAAATCTCGACGAGTCGAAATCATTGCACAAAATCATGACCCTCCCACTTTCAGTCATATCAATTGGGACGAGGCTTATTGGACGATAGTTGTTGGATGGACTGAGTTTGTCACTCTTTAAAAAAAAAAAGGTGTCACTGAAGCAATTTTCTACATTGAAGGAATACTAAGGTGTAAAGGAAGATGTCATAATAATGGATAGAGGTAAAACCAAATAAGATGCACATTCTTTTAAAAGCATTGCCGATAAATTGTCAATTTCAGCTGAGGAATTTGATTGAATTTTTTTGAGATTTTCACTAACAATTGCAGATGAGAACTCGATATTAGATAAATAGGTTGCTGTTCGGGCATTGTGACTAATTAGGACGTCGCCTATGGGTTCTAAGGAAAACACTTGTGAAAAATGATTGGCCAGAGCTTCTCAGCTGTTTCTTGATCATTATTACATAAGATTCCATCCGGTTTTTTAACAAGCGCGACTGATACTTTGGAAGATAGAGAGCATCTTACGTGTTTAAATAGCTTCTTAGGATTATCGCTACCTAGCGATATATTCTTCGTATTCTCTTCTTTATCAATAAAATTGATTAAATCCTTGCCAAAACGTCGATGGTTAACCAAATGATCATGTCTTTTGGTTGTTTTAAATTTTTTCCACATAGTTTTCTTATGGTTAATTAAAGTTAAAAATGGTCCATTGATCCAGGGTTTTAATTTGTTTTGAGGACATTCTTTGTTTTTTGTGTGCCTTCACAATTTCAGATACGCTACTTCTAAAAAAGTGATTACAATCAATTTCGGAGAGGACTCTCTTTAGGTTATTAAAGTTTGTGACACTGTAGGTTACGTCCCTATCGGGATTAGGGGGTTTTTAGGTTAAATTGGATATTAAAGATAATAACGCCATAGTCAAATTTCCCAATGAGTGAGTGGACAGATGAAGAAATTAAAAGTTGGTCGTCATTTATTAATAAAGGGCTAAAGTTGAAGGTTCTTGATTTAAGCGAAAGCGGGTAGGTTCGTTTATAAGTTGTTTAAGATTGGAGTTTATAATAAAATTTATAAAGTGTGAAACAGAGTTTTGCGATACTTTAAGACCTGCAGTAAGTGGCCAGGAAATTTTGAGAAGTTGAAATCCCCAACCACCACAAGAAATAGATTTGAAAGTACCTCAAAAAGCTGTTGGTCATTTTCTAGAGAAGTTTTTTTGGAGGACGATATAAACATACCAGAGTGGTTAAGAATGATTTATATGATAGTTTTAATGGGATTAAATCTATATTGGGAATATTGATATCTAAGGGAGGTGACAGAGTAAATTAAAGTGATGGATGACGCTAGGAAGATGCAGACTCCTCTACCAACATTAGTTGCGCGGTCGCTTCTGTAAATTGTAAATCCAGGAATGTTAATAAGTGAATCGGGAATAAACAACTTGAGCCAAGTTTCAGAAATTAGAATAATGCTTGGAGAAAAATGTTGCACTGAGCATAAAAACTATTGAATTTAGCAGTTAGAGAATCCAGGTTAGTATACATATGGGTTCAATCGTTAAATTGTGGTGGTTTCGGCTACCGGGATTGAAAGGGATTTGTCTTCACCATTTTTGGAATACCGTTATGATTTTTAATTGTTGGGTTATTTTCGCTTCCAATTCATCTCTTAAGTCTTGAAGAATCTGTTGTTGGGTAGGGGGGTTTGTCGTCGATAATGGTAATGTTTTTCAATGGTGCTATTTCTAAGACTTTCTTCTTGTTTCGTAAAAAGTTTTTGACGACATGTTCGAGGGGCATAATTACTTTGAGCCACCGGGGATAGGGACTATTTTGTTCAGCTTTTCCAACGCGGAAAAAAGTGACAGGTTGATCTGAAGAATTCACTGCCTTCAGTACATTATTAATTTCTGTACAGTCGTGTGGCTTTTTTTCCTCAAAATGGATGTATAGAATTTAAATTTCTTATCCGAGCTTAAAAACTTCAAGAAATTTTCGCTGAGGTTTCCCGTCGACTTAAGAAGGCATATGCAGTGAGTAGTAAGCGCTATAATTTTTGTAGACGTGAAGAGCAGAAGGACTGGGATTGTAACTATACTCTCTCTCTGACAAGACTCAAAGTATAACTTCAAAATTTGCATTAAAGTTTGATGGCCCTTTTTATATTCATAAAATTTTATCACTTTGGTCGTATGCATTAGTTGATCTAGATAGAGAAAGATCTAAAGAGTCATCCACCTGATAAAGATAAATCAGATTAATTCGTGAATACTTAGAGTAACTTTAAGCTTAAAACTGTACAGCTGTTTCACCAATATTATTTCTTTTACCTTACTTATAAGTATTCGTGTAACAAAGCCCTTCCATGGAAGGGGGGGTGTTGGTACATGTGTAAATTCATTTTATATTATCAAATTAAAAGGCACTATGTTATCATTAATTTTAATAAGCAGAAGGATACAATATACCATATTTTATTTTATTGCGTACTAAAACTCTACCAATCTTCATCTGCAGCAGCTTCTAATCTAGAAGATCTTGGAGGATCAAATTTGAAGGACGTTTTTGATTTATGGGAAATTTTGAATTTTGATTTAAAACTTTTAATACCCTGTATCACGGTAACTAAGCCCTTTAACGGTTTATGTCCCTATATCAAAATTCATCAATGGGCTAGAGCATTGTCGATCAAATATTTATTTGTTACCCACCCAACAGTAATCACCATTTACTGGGTGGGAAATACAAAACATTAGAATGAAAATACAAATACAAAATTGACAAAAAGCTATAGAATACAATGTAAACATCCAGAAAAAAATTGACTGAACACAGGATAAAAAAAATAATTGTCTACATTGCATTACATGCTTTACATAATTTTTTTACATTGTTAAAGAAAAAACATTTTTAATCATACATTTGTTACATGCAAAAATATCCAAGCTGTCTTGAATTTCATGATATTTCTGAATAGATTGGTACACAGATGAGTTCAAAACAGTTCTAGAAGCTGGCATGCAGAAATTCAAGTAAACTCTTAAACCAGCACGGGGAATTTTTAGATTAACGTAATTTAACAAAACAATACTGTCGACTGAGCCATTTAAAAGATTATAAAGTAGGAGTACCTGTTGGAAATTTCTGGGTATCACGAGCTCTGAAAAATTGAATCTAGATATTAGTAAATCGTGGGGATATCCTCTTGTAGGGTATATACCATCTAAAATGTAGGAAGCTAATTTCATGAATTTTCTTTGAACCTTTTCAAGTAAGTCAGTATAAATGTTATGCACGGGATTCCAAACAACAGAACAGTATTCAAGTTTTGAGCGTACAAAGCTAATATATAGAAATTTTAAAGTGAATATGTCTTTACATCTCCGTATAACAAACCTTAAGCTCGTGTTAGCAGCAGGTAACATTGTTTTAATGTGTTTAACTTAAGTTAGTTCAGGATCAAAATAAACTCTGTGATCTCTTATAAATTCCGGTCGATTTAGAACAACGTTCTGTAGTTTATAATCAAAAATTATAGGTGTTTCTTTTTTAGTAAAATACATTACGGAACATTTCTCAGGATTTAGAGGGAGTGAATTATCGAGACACCACTCGCAATGTTGGACAAACACTTTTGAAGTCGCAAAGTAATGGTTAACAGAATTGATTTTAAGCAATAATTTTAGGTCGTCGGCATATATTAAAACTTTAATATGCTCGATATTAGCGACTATATCATTTATAAACATTATAAATAAAAGGGGACCTAAAATTGATCCCTGCGGGACTCCTGATGTTTGTTCGAAATTTTAAGACCTGTAACCACGACATTGAACATATTGATGCATACCCAACAAATACGAAGCAATTAATTGAATGATTTGATCGCATAAACCAATGGAACTTAACTTATGGAGCAAATTGGGTCGAATGCCTTGGAAAAATCTGTGTATTACATCAACTTGACTTTTCCTATCCAAGGCTTCCGAAATAGTCGAGGCAATGAAGCACTAAAAAGGCCAAAGTTCCTGGGTTTTTCCGTGCGAGTCGGATCGGAATGTGGTTTTTTGCATTCACTTGCAAAAATTATTTGTATCATTCTCCCGTAATTTCCGAGTCATACAAACCGGAAATTGAATTGCTGCACCCAAAACTGCATTCAAAAAATGCATTAATTGAGAGGCCTCTTGGATGATTTTAAAACTTGTTAAATAAGTGTCAGAACTAGCCCAGATCGGGTTTTCGGGGGTTTTCGAGGTCACTGATCACGATTATGATGTCTAAATTGACCCACAGCTGACCTGGAGCTCAGGAACGTTGACGAACGTCATCTTCGTGGGACTCTCCCAAATTTCACGCGGGGAAGGAGGGCAACTAGGCGATCGGGGTTTTTTGGGGTAACTGAATCCAAATATGGCATCGTCGAATACCCCCGGACACCTGGTGCGCCCAAACCTCGACCTGGACGTCATCTCCGAGAATTTTCCTTGCAATATCGACAAGAACAACCCGAAAATGATTGAGCGGAGTTTTTTGGGGCGCTGAATCTAAATTTCACGTCGAAAACGACCCCCTGAACACACCTGGTGCACCGAAACTTGGCCCTAAACGTCATCCCCGAGAGGTTTCCAGACACAATTGAAAAAGACGAACCGAAAATCGTTCCGGGGGGTTTTTTGGGGCGCTGAATCCGAATTTCACGTGGAAAACGACCCCCCGAACACCTGGTGCGCCCTAACCTGGCCCTGAACTTCTTCACCGAGGTTTTCCAGACCCAATTGAAAAAGATGAACCGAAAATAGTTAAAGGGGGGTTTTTGGGTCGCTGAATTCAAATATGGCATCGGCGAACACCCCACGGACACCTGGTGCGTCCGAATCTGGACCTGGAGGTCATCTCCGAGAATTTTCCTGACACAATCGAAAAAGACGAACCGAAAATCGTGAAGGGGCGCTGAATTAGAATCTCCGAGGGTTCTACAGTCGCGATCACAAAAAAACTCCCCAAAACATAATTTTATACATTCATTCATGTGTAACTCTCCCCTGGGGCCCTAGAAAAAGTTTATCCATTCTGGTTTGTCCAGCGAAAGAATTTTTGAGAACAGGGCGCAGCTAATCCTGGCAATGTACAGTGTCATTTAGGAAATCAAATATTCCTGACAAGCCAAAATGGGACCAGTTACTCCAAACGTACAGGTACGAAATGTACAGGAGAACCGCTGCGACGAGGAGAGTAAATTTGGCCAAAATTCTCCCTACAGTAGACGCCATTCAACAACATCTAAAGAGGCTCTATTTTCAAGTACAACAATGGCTGCACGGAGACCAGCTGACCATGGACCCAACAAAATGGGAGTGGAGAAAGGAAGGCGATACACTAGTGCCTGTACAGATGGAAGAAAGACCTGTGCCCAAGAATATTATGGAACTAATATTCTGTGGATGTAAAGGAGATTGTAATCTGAACACCTGTAGTTGCAGGAAGCACGGCCTACCTCCATCATCTGAATTAGGGCGTGTTTCAAAGCCCACTTGTACTGAAGCTCTAGGCTTACAATCTTGCCTGTAAAATTTGTGAAGGTTCAACTTGCCTTAACACTGAAAGATATTCAGATGAAAACGTTAATGTGCCAGAGACAAAGGCCTCAACTGAGGCATGAAGAAAATGATCAGACACATTTGAGTTATTAATTAATTAAGGAATGACAAACTTACAGGTTCATTGTATTCGATTTGAGGCCAATAAAAATTGTTTTACCGTAAATTACATAAATATTGCGTTTCTATTCATTCTCTTTCTTTCCTCCTCACGTAATCTAGAAATAACAATTGCACACAGCTATTGCAGTATTGACCCATGCGGATGCCATATTTGGATTCAGCGACCCAAAAAAACCCCGATCGCCTAGCTGCCCTCCTTCCTCGCGTGAATTTTGGGAGAGTCCCACGAAGATGACTTTCGTCGACGTTCCTGAGCTCTAGGTCGGCTGTGGGTCAATTTAGATATCATAATCGTGATCAGCGACCTCGAAAACCCCCGAGCTCCCGATCTGGGCTAGTTCTGACACTTATTTAACAAGTTTTGAAATCATCCAAGCCTCTCAAATAATGCATTTTTTGAAAGGCTATAAGAAATTAACGCACCACTTATTTCAAAAAAAAAAAAACAAAAAAAAAATAGGTACTACAAAACAATTTACACAATTTTGAAAGACCCTGGTATAATATTTATTTTAATAAAAAATCACATTTTAGATTTGTTTTTGTATTTTGATATTGAATTTTCTCCTAAAATCTTATTATTCCTCGTAAGATAAATCAGCTTTCAAGTCAGGTAGTTGTAAAAGGTTCAATAAATCACAAGAAAGATTGAATAAAACTTCCTTTATTGAATAAAATAAAATTGTAAATAGGGAGGGTACAGTTCGGTAGAACAACAAAATTCCAAGCACGTAGAATAAAAAATGTAAATCAAGCAACTTGTAAAATATGAAAAGCTAACAAATTAAAATTACGAAATAAAAAATGTCACAGTAAGAGTTATTTAGTTTAGACACCAACAAACACTTTGGTGTAATAGTTCAAGCAACGAATGCTCAAAAAAGGCATAGAGGGAAATGTATGGAACACAATTTTTGACTTCGTAACTTTGTCTGGACTATAGTCTATTTTTATGTATGAGAGAGTAATAAAACAGCATTTCTAATGCAAAACTTAGTACGGTCATTTTAAATATTTTTACAGAATAATCTAAATATTTCCTAAAATTGTAATAAATGTACCTGAGCTATTACAAGTTTTGGGTCTTTTATTGTTCCTTTATAAACATAAGCTGTACAGAACAATAGAAAAAGGTTTGGACAGGCCAAAAGCCCTGTGTATTAAAGATTACATAGCCGTATCTTAAGATTATTTTCAATAAGTACCTATTTGCCAATGTTGTTTTATTTTATTTCCAAGAATTTCTTACAGTAATCGAATTATAAGTAGATAAATACCTTCCCAACAAATTTCACCGAAAATGCGATTATAAGTTTTCCATTTAGTAAGGAGGTCCAAGTTGTGTATTGTTGACAGTTTACTAAATGTCGTTTAGTTGCAACTTGCAAGGTGCAGTGTGAATTCTAGTGTGATCATGGAAAATTTGGAAAGGCCGCGTAAACGACAAAAAATCGGTCCTTTAACAGTTAATGAAAAAACATTAATATTTAATTGTTTTAAATCATTTACAGACAAACATTTATGTAAAAGTGTTGATGACACAGTGGAATTAGTTAGTAGTACGCTTGGTGTTGGGAAATCTACGATTTACAGAGTTGTTAAAGAAGAGAAATGTGACGAGTTTCAAACAGTACGTAAAGATCCAGGAAAACCAAAATTTCAATTAGAAAATCTTTTGAAAGAAAGACTTCGAAGGAAAGTACATACGTTCTTCTTTAGAAAAGAATTTCCGACAGTAGACAAAGTTCTTGCCACGGTTAGAGATGATAAGGATTATCCTGAAATGAGTCGAAGTACACTATGGAAACTTTTAAAAGAAATAGGTTTTCTATGGAAAAAGCATTCCAGAAAGTCTATTTTAATAGAAAGAAGCGATATTGTAGTATGGAGAAGAAATTACCTAAGGACTATAAAAGAAATGAGAAACCAAAGAAGAAATATATTTTATTTAGATGAAACATGGATCAACGAGGGACATAAACCAAATAAATTTTGGCAAGATGAAACTGTTACAAGTCGAAGACAGGCTTTTTTAAATAATTTATCTACTGGTTTGAATCCACCATCAGGAAAGGGGCGCAGACTAATAATAGTACACATCGGTAGTTCAAACGGTTTTGTTAAAGGTGGTTTATTGACTTTTGAATCTACTCGTACCGGTGACTACCATGAGGACATGAATGTTGATGTCTTTAAAGAGTGTTTCAAACAAATTATAGATCTTCTTCCTCAGAACTGTATAATAGTAATGGATAATGCAAGTTATCACTCGAGACTTATAGAAAAAATGCCCACAACCAAGTGGTTAAAAAAAGATTTACAGAATTGATACAAGTTTTATTTAGTCGAGTTTTTCGATATCTTGTTAGTTTTCGATATATCACCTCTTGAAAGTTTGTAATTAAAAAAAAATTGCCTCGCATACCTATTCTGCTTTTTTTGACCGGATAACTCTTTAAGAACTAAATGCCGAGGTTGTAGAGAATTAAATTCCCTTCAATAATGTATATTACTTACTATTTTACCTGTTTTCCTTTAAATGTAAAAGCAATTTTAAAATTGAGCGTATTATCTGAAGTTTTGCGACAACTGTCGACTAATGAATCTTTCATTTTCTCACTATTCCCAGTCAACGTATTGACTGAAATATGCACCCCTCATAAAATTAATTTTCATCTTTTTAAATAAAAACGTCAATAATCTTCTAAACATGTAATATAAGGAGTGTAATGGATATAGTTTTAAGTAGGATGCACTGGGAATTTCAAATGGATTTTCGTCCTGAGGGAAATCGTCAAGCTACTTACTGGCATAGAAACATCGTCGAATCTTTTGCCGAATCGAAGTCGTAAAGATGCCGGCCTTTCATTTGTACCCTGCAAAAAACAGTTAATTTTAAAATCATATTATACAGGGTTAATCCTAAGTCGATACTTCATTTTACTTAGTACATATAGTCATAAAAATAAATAACGTTTTCAAATAAGTTTTTCAAATAACCTTTTCAAATAAGCTTTTCAAATAACCTTTTCAAATAACCTTTTCATATAACCTTTTCAAATAATCTTTTCAAATAACCTTTTCAAATAACCTTTTCAAATAACCTTTCCGAATAACCTTTTCAAATAACCTTTTCAAAGAACCTTTTCAAATAACCTTTTCAAATAACCTTTTCAAATAACTTTTTCAGACAACTTTCCCAAATAACTTTCCCAAATAACTTTAATAACTCTTTCAAATAGCTTTCACAAATAACTTTTTCAATGATATCGTAGAGGTTATTCAACTTGTCGAATGTGGCCATTTTCATGAACGAAAAAAAATTCTCAAAATCAGTACCACATAAATGTATTCTTTATCAAAAACTAATTGTTAGCCAGGTATAACACAGGCAACCGGTTTCGGCTCAAAAACCATCATCAGGCCTAAGATGGAAGGAGAAATAGTTAACAAAATTACAATAAATTGAAGCAAGTAACATACCATAAACGACAAATTTTAATCATATATGATCATCCACAAGTAAAATAAAACTTATAAAATATGTTATTAAATGGATGTATGTACTGAGAAAAACTAATTAATTACAAATATTATTAAAGTTTAAATGGAAATGGAAGATGTGGATAACCAATTAATTAAATAATTTTTATTATTTTGTAGTGGTAATTTACAAAATGAATTTAGGAATTTCCAAAGCATTTAAATTAACTTTGTTTTTGAGAAGTTTGTTGAGAAGAGAAGCAAGATAAACAGAACAAATAAGATTGTAAATGGAAATAATATATTTACATAAATTTGAAAATCTTTGTGTGTCTGAAGTAAGTTTATAATAATGATTTCATGTATACCTAAAGGGTTAACTGAATATAAATAAGAAAAAATATTTAATATGATAACTGGTATAAAACAATAAAGGTAGAACATATTGTTAGGATATAAAATAAATGATAAAAGATGTTACACTTACTTCTTCGGTCCTTTTTCCAAAACGTAGACGTAGAGATGGTGGTCTGTCATTTCCATTCTAAAAAAATACAAAAATTATAGTTAAATACTAAATTATAGCTGCAAAACAATAGTGTACAAACATTGTGTAGCCTTTTATTAGTAGTTTGTGCAACAAGAGTGGATGTGGACAATCCACTCGAGTTGTACAGTATATTTTTTTCTAAGACCCACTAACGAATATCTACAAATATTAAAAATTATTTTAAGTTATTAAGATAAAATTTAAAAATAATTTATAAAATAAAATAAACAAGAAAACAGAAAAGAAAAAATTTCATTTTCTTTTTCTCCTTCTGAGATTTGAACTCGAGTCTTCCGTATGGAAGGAAAGAACTCTGACCACAGGACGCGCTTATTTTTTTTTGCTTTAATACTCGTAATTAAATTGACTTCATATAGTTTTATTTAAATTAACAAATTATTTATAATTATAGACAAAATAAAAATATAAATTCTATTATTTATCGATTAACTCATTTTAATGTATTTTTGATCTCAATAACTAAAAAATATACTGACAATTACTATGACAGAATTGTCACTTATTTAAAATTTTAAAAATAATACCAGTCGGTTGATCAAAATATCAACTGTGATTGGTGTATTTCATTTTTGCAAGGTTTTCACTATCTAGAATGAATATGAAATGTAATAGTTCAGTTACTTATTCTTTTTGTTATCTGTGCGTAGATAAGCTAATATCCACGTGGGTGTAGAATACAGTAGTTTGTGCAACAAGAGTGGATATGATAGCCATATCACACGAAGACGAAATTCAAACACGATAATGTAGGCGGATTGCTCAATCGTCTGAGAGCGATGTGGACAATCCACTCGAGTTGTACAGAATATTTTTTCTACGACCCACTAACGAATATTTACAAATAAAAAAAATATTTTTGGTTATTAAGACAAAATAAGTACTTTTAAAATAATTTAAGCTAGCGGCTAGAGCACGCAGCGGCCGAGGCAAAACCAGGACCGTAACGAGCGTTCAGCGCACCATCCCTAAAAAATTAGTGAATTCATAAATAATTTATTTACCGGCAATGGATATTGCAAATAAAGTCCTTAGAGAAGAGGAAACATTTGGACCCAATGGGCAGCAAGAAACAGTAGGCCCAAAATAAATAAAAATACGAATAATAGTAATTCTTGCTCCGAAAAAATCGTTCGGTATCAGGTTTGATCCAACTCTGGGACTCAGAAGATCTAGGTGCCTCTTAGGGCCCTAAGGAATTTTTTTGAAAAGGGTTAAGCCCGTAGACTGGGGCCAAAATCTGATTAGGTAAAAAATTTTCCCTCAAAAAAAAATTCGTTGGTGTCAATTCCGACCCAAGTCGAGGCTTAAAGAGATTTAAGTGCCTCTAAGGGACTTGAGGAATTTTTTTGGAAAAGGTAAAGCCAATAAACTGGGCCCAATGTCATACAATTTCCAAATTTTTAGTTTTTTGGCTCAAAAAAATTCTTCGGTGTCTGTTCCGACCGAAGTCGAGGTTTCAATAGGTTCAAGTGCCTCTGAGGGACTTGAGGAATTTTTTTGTAAAGGGTTAAGCCCATAGACTGGGCCCAATGTCATAAAAATTCCGAATTTTGAGATTTCTCGGTCAAAAAAAATTCTTTTGTGTCAGTTCCGACCCAAGTCCGGGTCTTAAGAGGTTCAAGTCCTTCTAAGGGACCCAGAGAATTTTTTTGAAAAGGGTTAAGCCCGTAGACTGGGCCCAAAACTTGATTAGGTAAGAATTTTAGGAATTCGGAAGTTTTATGACATTGAGCCTACGGGTTTAACCCTTTCCAAAAAAATTCTTCAGGTCCATTAGAGGCAGTTGAACCTCTTAAGATCCGGACTTGGGTCGGAACTGACACCAAAGAATTTTTTTTGAGCAAAAAATGGCAAAATTTAGAAGTTTTATAACATTGGGCCCAGTCTACGGGTTTAATCCTTTCTAAAAAAATTCGTTGGGCCCGTAGACTGGGCCCAATGTCATAAAACTTCCAAATTTTGACAATTTTTGCTCAAAAAAAATTCTTTGGTGTCAGTTCCAACTCAAGTCTGGGTCTCAAGAGGTTCAAGTGCCTCTGAGGGACTTCAGGAATTTTTTTGGAAAGGGTCAATGTCATAAAAACTTTTTTTGACTAATAAATCTCAAAATTCGGAGTTTTTATGACATTGGGCCCAGTTTACGGGCTTAACCCTTTCCAAAAAAATTCCTCAAGTCCCTCAGAGGCACTTGAATCTCTTGATACCTTGACTTCGGTTGGAACAAATACCAAAGAATTTTTTTTAAAGAAAAATCTCAAAATTCGGAAGTTTCATGACATTGGGCCCAGTCTACAGGCTTTACCTTTTACTATTATTCGTATTTTTATTTATTTTGGGCCTACTGTTTCTTGCTGCCCATTGGGTCCAAATGTTTCCTCTTCTCTAAGGACTGTATTTGCAACCTCCATTGCCGGTAACTAAATTATTAATGAATTCATTAATTTTTTAGGGACGGGGCGCTGAACGCTCGTTACGGCCCTGGTTTTGCCTCGGCCGCTGCGTGCTCTGGCCGCTAGCTTCAGCTTCTCGAACGCTAACCACAGGACCACCTATTCTTTTATTTTTGTTGCTTTAATACTCGTTATTAAATTGACTTCACATAGTTTTATTTAAAATTAACAAAGTTCTCGTCTCCTGATACTTCAGCTGTACTATTATATTGTAATATAGCATGCTTCAGGGCCTGGGGGACATTATCCCTTCTAATTGTGATTTTCAGTTCATCTGTCGATAGTATACTGACGTATTCTAACTCAAAAGTGTCTTTATTCTCATTTTTGTAATTTTTCTACGCACTTTTTAATAGTTCTCCATACTTTTTTAGGTGAATTATCCCTATTTTTTGTTTTCGATCCTATTTCTAGTGGTCTACTAGATCTCATTGAGTGTTATCCGGATGAGTTTGCTGTGGACTGTTTTCTTCTAAACCGATTTGTTGATTGGCTCGCTCAGGAGTTTAATTTTCAGTTCTATCGGTATTTTGACTTTCTCCATACTTTTTTGGGCAACATTTTTTTTCGAAGAGGGCTCCTTGGGAAGTGATTTTTTCCAGGTTAGCGGCTAGTACTTCTGTACTTACAGTTCTCCTGTCCGGCTGCGCTTTCCTTTTCGTCTTGGTAATTGTAGGACTATGTATTAGTGGATGGGATTTTCTTAGCACTGATTTACTGATGTCTATATTGTGTTTTACCCGATTTTCAAGTCTTTGAGTATATACAGTTTTAAACCCTGATTTGGTTGCCCTCAAGGGCTCTCACCCATGAGTTATGGTCGTACTAACTGTGCAATATATTTTACCTGGAGTTCGAACGAAAAGATTTTCAACGAAAAAGATATTGAAACACGAAGGTGAGGTTAGGATATTCTCAGAGTCGAAAGAGACGTGGATTCTTTAGAACATAAACCAGAAAAAGTCTAGGTAAACTGAAGAGTCCTTTTCCACTGCCAAGATATATAAAAAGAGAAGCAATCAACCAAACTGTTTGTTCACAAAGCTCAAAAGTATGAAAGAGGGAATAAATGTATAAGAGTTACAGGTCCTCAACCGACTCTTATTAAATGACGATAACGCCTCAACCTTCACCGCTCACTCGAAGGTATTGGGTGCCAGTAAATTGCTATTGACATGAGGACCATGCAGAGGATGAAAAAGCATGGAGGTAGATGGAAGGGTTTTGATCCAGTTTATCAGGATGGGAACTTACTCGACTCGGGCCTATTACTGTGTGCGTGTCAAACTGACAATTCCGTCCGACGAGCTGCGCTGAAAGGAACCCACTAATCACTACCTTCCTCGAGTAGTACGTATTGAGTATCTCTTGTTTCCTGACCGCTCCCGGTAAACGTGTTGAGTTTACTGATTTCCCGATAGACGTGTTGAGTCTATATTCCTAATAGACGTGACAATTCGTGAAGTAACCGTCGTATCGTATCGGAGACCAACTTTGCAACAACGAAAGGCCGTGGCTGTTGGCCCGTACGCCATAAAAAAATAAAATTATTTTAACTATATTTTGTATTATGTTATCTTATTAGAGAGAATAAATACTTTTATATTGAACCCTGTCTTCTGAATTACCCAAACCGCATTACAATTTTATTGCCAGCAAAAAAGGATAAATCCATCAATAAGCAACTTTAGCTCGAATTTCACAGGTGGCGTGACTGTTTCCACCACAGGACCATAGTACATATTGTTCACTGCAAGCAAAAAATACGACGTTCCACTTTTTGCAGTTCGATGAGGGACTAAGATGTAATTAATTATATTTATCTAGTGTAATGTATATACCTGTGAATAATGTGTATGTATACTTTCTAATAGTAAAAATCACCAGGTTTATTGTCCTAGTTTTATTTGATGATAAGAAAGCCAACATTGAAAAGTAAAGGGACTATAGGAGTTCGGGGCCATTCATTATGTAAATTAACATGTGAAATCCCTAAGGTTCATTCTAGCAATTTTTGTCTCTTTCAAGGTCACGCGTCGAAGTTCGAAGTCGGGGTTAACAGTAAACATAATAACGCCGGCCCGCGGTTAGAAAACGTCGAGAATCAAAGATGGCGGCCATCGAACGAGTATAGATTAAGGTAGTAGTAATGCCAAAAGGACCTAAGCATGTATCTCAGCTATTATTGGTCCGATTCAAACGGAAAAAACGACTTTATGTAGAGAACGTGGTATAGATTAACATGCGCTGAACGAAAGCCAGAAGGGCCTTAGCGTGTATCTTCATTGTTATTGGTCCGATTCAAACGAGGAAAACGGCATTATGTAGAGAACTCGGTAACGTTAAAGAAAGTGCAGTGGCAAAACCAAAAGAGCAGCGTCATGCATCTTAGCTGCTATTGGCCTGATTAAAACGGGAAAATGTCGTTGTGAAGAAAACGGGAACGTTGAAGAGAGTGCAGCAACAAAGCCAAAAAGGCAAGAGTTGTCAACTTAACAGGCATAAATGTTAAGGAACATCTAACCTAACATTAGGTTCAACAGTAACATTATGTAGGACAAGGAGGAGAAAGGAGCGGTGTGAAGAAGAGATGTGTTGGAGGAGTACGAGGGGTGGTGAAGACCCAGTCATCATCGACTCTGAAGGAGTATTAAAACTACTGGAGAAGCTGAAGAAGAAGAGAAAGAGTGAAACGTTGAAAGGGTGATAACCATAGATATTCATATAAAATCACAAAAATAAATGGAAAAAACATAGAAAATCGTAGAAATCTTTAAATAAAGAGTCACAGAATACACGCTGCTGCGTTGTCAAAGGGGTCTTAGTTAGTTAGTACATAAATTGTAATAACCAAGGAGTCGAAGGAGTAGAGGAGACATTACTTCTCTGGATGAAGAAATGTCAATGAATATGGGAAGGTAGCAGTCAAAAGTTCAGTATTGAGAATAAGTTTAAGAAGAACGCGTAGGCATCGTTCGTGTTGTTATTGTAGTCATACATCATCGTCGTTTCTAATAACTTACAAGTAAAATCTTCAATAAAAATATTCTACGTTTATTGTCGCTGGTTATTAATAAAATGGTAACAAAATACTCTTCATCCATTATCGTATGTGGTCATTAGTCATTACCAAACGTCATTATCGTATGTCATTGTTGTACGTAATTGTCGTACGTCACCGTCGTTAAACAATTATCTTTAATAAAAATAAATACAACAGCAAATTAACAATTACAATGTACCATCATCGATTGTATTCGAATTATCTTCAGAGATTCTCATTTAACATTTTCAACCTTAAAAACCATCTGTCAAACATTTAGCGTATGGAGTATGCAGAGTAAAGTCAATAGTGTTTGATTGAATATAGCCTTAAAAGTCGAATGACCATTCTAATTAAAACAGATATTATGTTGTCTTTACAAAGTAATGTCAATAGTGTTTGATTGAATAATTTAATCTTAAAACTCAAATGACCATTCTAATTAAAACGTGTATTATGTTAGGTCTTTGCTTAAATTGAACAAAACGGGATGTAGTTTTTTTAAGTTGTTTAAAATCACCATTATTTTTCCGTACCTACATGGTGTCTGATATGAATCTTTATTAAAATTTCATTTGCTTAGTGTCTATGAGTATATTTTTTTAATTTAAGAAATCCAAAATACATTTTTTTAAATCTTAGCTCTCCCCAACTTTCGCCACGCCCCGGCTTGTTTATTTTGTTAATACAAAAATCGATAATGATTTTTTTTTAAATTTATTTATGTTTATTTTATAACTTACATCATTGATTCCAAAAGGGTCGAATTCGTCTGTCCGTTTGCCAAATCGTAATCTAAGTTGCGGCCCTCTCCGTCTTTCTACTTGATGAATACCAAGCGGTTCGTTCATATTTTGTTTTTGCATTAGAATTTCTACTAAGTCGTGGATATTGTCTGCAAAAAAAAGAAAATACAGATACTTTTGACATTTTGGAATTTTAGCCAATCATATTAATATTGTTATAAATGAAAGGGGTGCAAATATTAATTAAAATCCAAACATAAGTTAAACAGTACTATAATCGTATGATTATTCAAAATACAAAGACAAATAATGGACGTAACGAGTATTCAGAACGGATATATCTAAGAGGGTACTGGGCGCGATTTTCTTCGAAATAGTAGTCGTCAGGCCTGAAAATTTTAAAAAATCATACTTTTACATTTTCATTTTGTTTGACATAAAATAAGCAGATTGTTTTAAAATAATATATATTCAAGTCAGAATAAACAAACATTGTACAATGCTTGGATACAGGAAAAAGCTGAAAACCAGCAACTAGAAAGTGCATTGCAACAAATGCAAAATAATATGAAAAATATGCAAAAACAAATTAATATTTTAAACAAAGAAAAATCTAAAAGTCCATCGAATTATGAAACTGATGCAGAAGAACTGGCAAAAGAAATCGGCGATCAAATTAACAAAGAAGTAGAATGGATAACAGCGAAAAACGAAAAGCCAACTCCTCTCCAGAAACCTCTCCTGGCCAACCTGGAGGTAGCAAAAATCAGCAACAAGAGAAAGAAATAGTCGAAAAAACAGTGAAATTTCCCCCGATAATAGCAAGCAACATCAATAAGTATGAAGAATTGCGCCATACACTGTCAGAAAATAATATTTCCTTTCAAGCCGCAGCTCTAAGCAATAACCAGTTTAAAATGAATACTAAACAAGAAGAGCACTTTAAAAATGTCATATCAACCTTGAATGCCAAAGAAATAAATTGGCATTCCTATGATATTAAACAGAACAGAGACATTAAAGTAATGGTTAGAGGTCTACCATCTACATCTAAACCAGAAGATATTGTTGAAGACTTGCAAAGTCAAGGATTAAAATGTAAAGCTCTCAATATAATAGAGAAGAAAATATAATTAACCGAGGATAACACTCGTAAACTAAATAAAAAACTATTGCCGCTATTAATGCTATCATTCTAAAATATCAAGAAAATCTACGAAATCAAAGCAATATTTAATCTAAGCGTTAGAATAGAAACCATAAGAAAGTCAAAACTAGTTCCGCAATGCAAAAACTGGACAAACTTTTGCAAAAGAGAATCAAGATGCGTGAAATGCATAGGAAAACATCATACGAAGGATTGTGTAAAAAGTCCAGAACAACAAACGAAGTGTATAAACTACCTAATGGAACATAATGCTAACTACAGAGGATGTGAGGTAGCTAAAACCTTTCAGATAAGGAAGGATAACACCACGAAACCTAAAATAATGACGAGGCAGAAGAGACCCATAAACGCTTTTCCTACTGTCAGAAATGAAATAATATATTCTCAAGTAACAAACTCACAGGAGCAACCAATTCAAAGGTCACAACCAGCTATGAATCTCACGCCACAAATTGCACAGCAAACTGCACAGTCAGCCAGCTTAAAAGAAAGTACCACTCATGAATTATTATTCTGAATTACCAGAATAGATTCACTCTCTGACAGGCTCCAGGAGGGTGATCCGGGTGACCCGTCAAATGCGCCCTGACAAATACGCCCTGACAAATACGCCCTGACGAAAGCGCCCCGACAAATGTGCTTCCCGACATAATCGCCCACGACAAATGCACCCCTCGACATCTGTGCATGATAAAATTAATTTAATTTAACCAAGTTTTGAAGCACACGTAGATATTTACACAACGTCAAACAATTTTAATTGATTTAATGTTCCTAAATATGTGTTGCATTTTCATTTATTTACTATGTTGTATACAGGATGTGTCAAAATTTTTTTTCATTTTTTTTAAATACTGTATGTTATTTAATTAATTAATTAATTTATATTATCCATCGACGGAATAGAAAACCATCTATTATTTCTGACAAAGAGGTTGACAAAATTTTTAGCGTTTTAACCCAAATAGATGTGAATTCTTATGATAAAAACATCAAAACCACGAGAAAACATGCGTTTGGGTATAGGAAATGCATAACGAAAAAAAAAATAAAAATAATAATAATAATTTCGTGATATACAGAGTAGTGCTTGTTGAAAAATGAAGAATATCGTAATCTCGCGTTTAAACACACTCTGCATACAAATGAATGAAAATGCAAAAATTAGTTATTATCTGCAGGGTGTTTGGTTTAAAAAAGTATCCCAGCTAGCACAAAAACATCCCATCTACGTTAATAAGCTGCAATTTTAGGCTCTTTAAGCTCGCATGTAATGTACTGTAAATGTAAGCCTTATCTCCCTGTAACTACCGAATGTCCGCAACGGCAAGACGTTTATAGCACATCTCACAGAAGTTACAAAGTGAAGTTCGAAAAACATCACACTAGCACTTTTACGGTACTTACCCCGAAAGTTGCTCTGAAACGTTCTATTGATGTTATAATGTGAATTAGATCTACAGCATTATACAGTGTGTCCACGGATGGGCTTAACTATACTTGTGAAAATATTTATTTTAAATTAAAAAAGTAATTCTTCATAATTTCTTACTTGTTAAATAAATTCGATTCACATTGAGAAATTATGAAAAATAACTTTTTCTTTAATTTAAAATAAATATTTTTACAAGTATAATTAAGTCCATCCGTGGACTCACATTGTGTAATGTAATACAGAGAGGCTGAAATTGAGGCTATAGTAAAATCTCAATCGAGACATGAAAATTTCAAATAAAACAAAATATTTATATAAATTTATTATTAAAATGTTCTTGAAATCAAGTACCAATAGCACAAAAGTAGAGGTAGGTGTAGGAGTGTTCTTTTATTCAGTGCTGTATCCAGCGCTTGCAGCAAACCGTTCGTTCACCAATGAGCCAAGGCATCCATCGGCTTTAAAAGCCGATGGATATGTGATAGACGAATGGTGAGGATAATCAATCATTTAAGTTAACCTAAAATATAAGAGTTCAAATATAAAACGACTGCAGAATAGATAAATTACATCAATCACTGATGGAACAATTATTGAATAAAAGAACACACCTTATATCACAAACACAAGTACACATGTGGGATAGAAGCTACCTAGCAAGCACTGAACGATTGGACAAAATTAGCTAAATAGTATAATAAGGTACCAATATTGCAAAGGTTCACTAAAACCTTAAATGGTGAATGATGATAAAGCTAGATTGGTGAAAAATAATAAACGAATACAACAATGACTAGGTACATATTATTATATTAGATTACTAGAGGATAGCTAAGTTCGCTGATTTCTTACCTAAGACGCAGAGATATATCTTTTTTAAATCAAGCCTTTTAACTTTTTTTGCATAGATATTTATAAAGTGCTATAATGTAACCTAACTATGACAATTTATTAGAAGAGCATAAATTATATTTTTATATAAAAAGATTTTACTTCTCAATACATTGAATAAAAAAGAAATTGATAACTTGTTTACCTATTATTAATTAAAGGAAATTATATAGAAATTAAAAAATATGCCTTACTTTGTTGTTTTAAATAAAACCACCAATGTTAGTGTATTGAAATTTGTTTGAATTTTACAAATTTTATGCTTGATTTCCAAAGTAGATATATCGATGGCTCAATCAAAAAACGCCACAAGTCAAAAAACAAAGCAATTACATTTTTGGTTCAATGGATGCAAAATATCATTACGGTTTTACTTTAAATACCACCACAAACAAAAATATCCTTAAAGATAAATCATTTAAAATGTAGCCACAAACTGTGTCTAAAACTGCCTCAATTCGAGTTATTTTCTTCAAAAACACCCAAATTTTTTACAACTATGCAACAACTCACTTTTATAATCGTAATCATTTTATTTAACAGCAAAATATCGAAGCTTTTAAATAAAATATGAAGAGTATGTCAAAAACAAAATAATGATAATAGAGACTTACAAAATTTCAAAATGAAATTTCTCAAAACAATAGTATTTTAGTTGTGGCAGTATTTGATTGAGCCATCAATATGTAGATTTTATAAAAAACAACTGGTGTTTTTTAGCAAGATATTCTATTATACTCGAGAGTATCATCTATGATTTCTCTCAACTTTTCTGCTGGGTTTTCACTTGAACTGATGTTGCATTTCCAGGCAATCTAGCCTGTTGAAGAGAATGAACTGCTTGAATTCTAATATACCTGACATATCATGTACCTATAGATTCACTTTTTATAAAACTTCAGGTGTTATATTCTTCTTTACACTTCTGTAGTATTTACTTTTGCTTCTAAAATTCCTAGAATGTCAAAGGATACCTAAAAAATAATATTTTTAAAATGTATTTTTAGTTCGATAAAGTATAATTACCTTTTATAAGTATTTGGTGTAAAATGTTGCCGGACATTCGGTTAAATGTTTATCTTCTGGTTTACAACGATTGATCTGCAATTCTTTGTTTTTATTGTAGTTTTTTTTATTTGGTGTCATCGGCATCGACTGCTAAAGATACTTAATGAATGAAATAATAAATTTACATCAGGCATTGTAATCTGAAACAAAGACAATGGTTTAGAAAATAGTTATCTATTTTATAGAGGACCCTTACCAAATCTATTCGAATGTATAAATAATAATTATTTATAAAATAAATTCTGGATGTCGAAAAATAAACCATTAAAAAAGACAATTGACAAGAAAAACTGACAAGTGACAATTGACATAAAACTAAACGTTCTGAATTCAGATTTGTAATGTTTACGGTAGGTTAACTAGGTAAATAACAAATAGAAGTTTTGCGAGGTTTTGATTTCCCTCAACAACTTCTCATGAACGTTGCATTTACGTTGTACAGTAATGTTATTACGTTCCCTTAATGCAACATCGCCGAAAGGCTTGGCAACGTTATGTGCTAGCTGGGATAGGTTCGGTTTACGTTTAATTTATAGACCACCCTGTATATTTAAGAATAATTATAAAATATAGTACAACTTTTTTAA